CATATATACTTCGTTGTTCTATTTCGAAGCACGTACGACATGTATATATAGTCTTTTCTACATTTTTTCTTCGAACTTAATCTTCACTTCACATTAATTTATTACAAAAAATACACGAACACATTGTACATATTGTATTATGATAAAGGGGAAAAAAAAAAAAAAAAAAAAAAAAAAAAAAGAGCAAAAGAAGAGCAAAAGAAGAGACGTAAACAAAAAACATTATGTAAAGTTTAATTCAATAAATAAAAAAGTGCATGCTAAAAATAATATATATATATATATGCTTAAAAAAAAAAAATAAATAAATAAATAAAATGAAGCACGTAGAAAAAAGAAAAATATTATGAAAAATTAAATTAACGAACGACAAATTTTTATTTTAAAATATATATATATATATATGTCTTTTATTATATATTATATATTTATTAATACATTGTAATATACAATACATAATTAATATATAATATATAATATAATATATAATATATAATACAATATTATATATTCTAACACTATATATATATAATTATTATTAAATATATATATATATATATAATTGGGAGTGGCCATTGGCATATCACTATTATACGAAAAATATCACCATATTAAGATTTTATGTGAGGTTATAACTTGTTATGTCACATCCGTTGTACGGTATTTGTTGTCATGCTCGAGTACTTTTTATTTCTCTCTCTTTCTCTTTCTCTCTCTCTCTGTCTCTCTCTCTCTGTCTCTCTCTCTCTGTCTCTCTCTCTCTGTCTCTCTCTCTCTGTCTCTCTCTCTCTGTCTCTCTCTCTTTCTCTTTTTATAATAGCAACAGTGACGAGATAGTAATCAACGTTATAGCAGAGTTGTTCTATAAAATATCAGCAACTATTCTTTTTTTTTTTTTTATTTTTCTCTTCTTTTTTCTTTTTTTTTTTTTGTTTTCTTATCTCTCATAAATCGATGAAAGATTTACAATAAATTACTTATTACGATTTTTTATTTGAAAAAGTTGTCTTAACCTTTAAATAAGAACTGATGACGCATATTCGAAAGAACGTTCGAAACAAAGTTGCTGATACTGAGAATGTTAACGTAGCAACGAGCGTGACGAAGTAAGGGAGACGAACTTTCAAGGATGTCGTCCCTTCATGGAACTTTTAACGTTTTATTACATTGTAAGGAACATAACCTCCAAAGCGTAGAAACCAAATAAAGACTAGATGAATGGTCATCAACTATTAAGTTTTTGAAAAATATATATGTATATATATATATTATGCAGGATGGTCTAAAAGTTCTTAAATGATTATAAAAATGAATTATCATTTTTCGAGATTTTTAAGACTCGTAGTTAAGCTTGTAATTTTATAATATATAAAAGAAACAAAAAAAAAGAAAAATAGTAGTAATAATAATATTAATAATAATAATGATAAAAATAAAGTCTAAGTAGTCTCGAAAAGTGATAACAAATCTTTAAAATCATCTAGTAACATTTGACCAATTTCGAAACATTTGGTCGAATCAATATATATTATATATTTAATCTTTTGAAAATATTATATATATGGATATCTCTTAGGAACATTTGATTCATTAAAAAACTTTTGATCCAACCTGTCTCTATATATTTAATATCTGCTATATATTTAACATTTTCAATATCTATTGTAATCTCTTCAGTTGATTATCAATTTAATTTTATTGCCTATCATTATTTTCCGACGTGACATATCAATAACGTCATACTAATATCCAGTTCTACTTATCTATACAAAATTTGAACATTTCTTTTTTTTTTTTTTTTTTTTTTAATTCTAAACCTTTCAATTGTCTTATTAAAACGTAATTTAAGAAACTATAATAACGATTGTATTTTATAATTAATATAAAAGAAGGAAAAAAAAGAAAAATGATTAGAACTGATCAATATTAAAGACAATTAACTTTCTAACCTCAAATAATCCTGAAGACGTTCAAACACGAGTGTGTATGATGGAGTATTAATAACGATTGTATTTTATAATTAATAAAAAGGAAAGAAAGAAAAAAACAAAAAGAACAAAGAAAAGAAAAATCGATCGCAATTATTCGAAGCGATCGATTTACAAAAAGACAAAACAATTTCCATTCTAACCTCAAATAATCGTGAACACGTGTAAAGCGAGCGTGTACGATGAAAGAATGTTTTAAAAGTTCGATAAAAAAAATATAAACATATAAGAGCTTGCGACCTCTAATGATTGATCAGAGCAATACAAAATGATTGTCGTGATAATTTATATTAAAACAATATATGAAAGAAGAAAAAGAAAAATTTATAGCGGATATTCGAAATTCTTTCTCTCAAATTCGAAGAAATTTGTATTTTCTTGCAAAAGAGAAAAGGAGAGAAAAAGGGAGAGAGAGGGGAGGGGGAGAGAGTGTGCGTATATGTATATGTATACGTAAAATACGCACACGTATGAAAGAAAATGACGTTTAGGAAAATTTATTCCTGAACGCGTTCCGGGTGGTTCGCTTACGCAAGCAAGCAAAAGACTCCCCCGACATTCCGTTCCAACCCCCGCCATACCACCGCCACAGCCGCCAACACTACTTACCCCAGCAACCCCCACCCACCCTCTCTTTCTCTTCTCTCAACGAGTTCCAAATAAAAAAGACGCAAGACGGCTGGATCCGCGGCTTATTTTTAGATCATGTGCCAAGGAGAAAGATAAAGAGAGAGAGAGAGAGAGAGAGAGAGAGAGAGAGAGAGAGAGAGAGAGAGAGAGAGAGAGAGAGAGAGCATGTGTTTGGCTAACACTGTGCAAGATGCAAGACTTGCTTGCTTGCTTGATTCGACGTTGTTACCAAAAAAAGAAGCCTGCCTGCCTGCCTGCCTGCCTGCCTGCCTTTGGTGCTACATCACGTTTATTATTCTTCCCGTCCCCTTTTGAAAATAAAATAAAAAAATAAGAAAAAAAAGAAAGGAAAAAGGGGGAAAAAAAAGAAAAAAAAATAAAGAAAAGTGGATGGACCGAAAGTTATCGGCGAATGATATAAAAAGAATCGCGTTTAATTAATATCATTTAATTAAATTTAAAATGGAAGAAGATAAATTTCTTTCTCGTCGAGTTATTCGATTATAATAAAAACTTTTTCAATTCAATTTATTCATTAAAATCACACCGTTCCTTGGCCTTTTCGAGCTAATTTGTTTTTTTGTCCATCCATCCCCCTTCCAACTTTGCTGATAGCGATATTACAAATCTAAGAATTTTTTTTATGATCCGCCACAAGAAAAAAGAAAGTAAAAGAAAAAGAGAGTGAGAGAGAGAGAGAGAGAGAAATAAATGCCTTGAAATATTTGGAAACGGCGTAGTAATCGATGTGTCAGAAATATGTCATCCGGGAGAACTTTTCTCTCTCACTCTCTCTCTCTCTCGTTCAAATTTCCCCGGATTAGTATTTATGAGAATTTTTTTCAACGTTAACAATCGGGTCGCCATCTGTCGTACGTTTCATGATACTCATTCCTCTCAGATTAAATCCATCATTTAATGCGTCCTTATAAAAATTCCATTTTCGTTTTCTTTCTTCTTTTCTTCTCCTTTTCTTTTCTTTTTCTTTCTTGTTTTCGTTTCACCTTTTTATCTCTTTCTTTTTTCTTTTTTCTTTTTTTTTTTTTCATGTACAAAACGAAATTACAAAATGGCTGACGATCAAATTTTTATATTTCGTGAATTCGATATAAACATTCTCTCTCTCTCTCTCTCTCTCTCTCTCTGTTTCTGCGGAATATGATTTATTTATTTATTTATTTATTTATTTTGTTTTTTTCAAGAGATACGACTAGTCAAAGAGATTATTACGTCAGTGTAAAGAAGTTCTTATTATAATTCTATTATAGGCGGTATTGGTTTTTAAGATGAGGATGTAACGGCGTACGCTTTGTCGTTCTTGTTTGGATTCGTTAGAAAAATGACCCCTTTTTTCTTTTTTTTTTCTGTTTCTTTTTTTTTTTACTTTCATTTTCTACGAAATACCTCGTAAATCAATCTCGGTGAATAGGATAAAGATATCGAAAACGTTTATATTACCATTGTTCTTTTATGATAATTTTTGCTTCGTAATTCCAATAATTATTATTATTATTATTGTTATTGTTATTATTATTATTATTATTATTATTATTATTATTATTATTATTATTATTATTATTATTATTATTATTATTATTATTATTATTACTATTATTATCATTATCTTTTTACTCGAACGATTTGAACTTTGTACGATAGAACGATGAACAGTATTATTTTGCATCATCTTCTCTCCTCATTGATACCATTCGAATATAATGTGACATGGATTTTACACATATATATATATATATATATATGTATGTACACACAGACACACACACACACACACATATAATGAGTATCATTTGAAACAGTATGTATAAATAGAGTACGAGTAAATATGGCGAGGTTTCAAATAGACGAAATACATGGTCACGTAATCGACGCCTACAACGATCGCCATATTAAATAAATTCAAAAAAAAAAAAAGAAAAAAAAAAAAAATTAATCGTCTACGAGGAAGACATGTATTTACATATATTTATACGTGATGTATTAAATCGATGGAATTATTAATCTCTAATAAATCAAATATTAAAGGAAGTTAAAGAGTAAGAATGAGAGAGAAAGAGAGAGATAGAGAACGATGATGATTGAAAAAAGCCGATCAAATATTTATTCGGGTCGATTTTTAAATAGGACCATGAGCTTTGTTTGGCCCGCTTTATCGTGAAGGCTGTTTTATGTGTGATGCAATCATCAAGAAGGTCACGCATTCCTGTCGTATGGGTTGGACGATAAAGAAAAAGAAAAAGAAAAAGAAAAAAAAAAAAGAAAAAAAATCCAAAAATAAAAAAAGGAAGAAAAAAACAAATGGAAAAAGAAGAAAAAGAAGAAATTAATGATGGAAATAAGAAATTAAAATAATGACCAACTGACCCGTTTCAGCTGATTGCCCATGATATTTTGTAATTCGTTCCTAATCAGACTGAACTTCATCATGGTATCGCTGGAGAATATAGAACAGCCAAATGCTAATCCAGGATAATCGGCGCATCTCTTTCGTCTTCTGGCCTCTCTCTCGGCTTGTACCTCGGTCCTTTCGCTTGGACACCTTAATTTCGCCAATTCGGCTAATTCAGGATCCTCCTCGACGTTGGTAGACTCATCATCGGAATTACCATCCCCGCGAGCCCTCGCGACCGCGTGCTCGGGCTCGTCGTATATGTCGATGAAAAATTTATCATTCGTTAATAATAAATCATCGTAATCGTGATAATTTGTATTTTCCTTCGTACGAATATCATCGAATATCTCATCGATATTGTCATTAATTTCCTCTTTGATTTCTGTTACGTTTAATTGGTCCTCCCAGCCACGTGGGTTCGAAACGAGCGTTTGAATTTCCCGCGAGAAACCTTTCTCGTAAACCTTTTTCAAATCCTTATTCCTACGATCAATGTCATTTGACTTCTCGTCATTGTCATTATAAATGAGATTGTAATCGTCGTCATTTTTATCATCATTTCGTATCTCAATATTTACGTCCGGGCTACACTGCGCGAGCCTCTGTCGGACATTAGTATTCTCATTGTTCTCGTTATGTTTATTATCGTTGGTCGTCTTTCCTGCAATTGTTGTTTCGGAAATTGTTGTCAGTGGGGTTGCCGTTGACGTTGCTGTTGTCGCTGATATTGTCGTTGCTGTCGTCGTTGTTTTATTAGATTTGACATCCTCCTTATTATTAGCTTCGATTCTTTTCGACAAGGAACCACGCAACCAATGGGTACCCAACGACGTTGGTTGCTCCGATAATACGTTGTTATCCTCGAGGACATTATTATTGTTATTATTGTTGCCATTATTATTATTATTATTATTATTATTGTTATTATTGTTGTTGTTTGCTATTATTGTTGTTGTCGTTATTGTTGTTGTTGTTGTTGTTGTTGTTATACCGGCAGGGCCACACTGCGCGGGTCCTCTGCCGGATACCTCGAAACGTCTACGCGTCGAGTGACGCGGGTGATGCTGATGACCGCGACGTCTCGCGGTCGACGCCGGCAAATGTTCCATGATCGTGATGATCCTGGATGAAACATGCACCAGATTAACCAACGTATAATTACAACGACGACGACGACGACGACGACGACGACGACAATGACGACGACGACGACGACGACGACGACGACGACGACGACGAAAACGACGACAACGACGACGACTACGACGACGACGACGAATCAACGATTATTATTATTATTGTTGTTGTTGCTGTTATTATTATTATTATAATTACTATTGTTTTTATTATTATTATTATTATCGACGAATTTAAGACGATTTAATATAGTAAAACGACGAGCGACGAATTAATCGGGAATTATTTTTTCGTCGTTAATTACGAAAACAGGAGAAAAATCGTGTCTTTCCTTAGCAGCAGCGCGCGCGCTACTTTGCGACGTGTCGTCGTGCTGAGCTGCACTCACGTCTTGATTCTCTCTCTCTCTCTCTCTTTCTCTCTCTCTCTCTCTCTCTCTTTCTCTCTTTTCTCTCCTTCTCTCTCTCGCTCTCGTCTTTCTATATCTATCTCGCTCGCTCGCTCGCTCACCGCATAAGCCCTACCGCCATTTTGTCTGTCACTGGCTCTCTCGCGCGACACGTTTCTGCAGTCGCGCCCGCCGTTCACCACGCAAAGTTTCTCCCCACTCCGTCTCTCATTTTCTCGCAATATCAGTCTGTCTCTCTCTCTCTCTCTCTCTTTATTTCTCCATCATTCTCTTTACGATCTTAACGCCCTCTATGGGACACCTCGTCCCCTCCTCAATCCCCTCCTATACCGTCACTACACGACAAGCTACAATTCGGGTTAACCCCTCCTCTATCTATCTACCCACCCGCCCACCCACCCACCAACGACGCGATACCAACGAATCCTCACGAACCTCGCCGAAATAAACATCCGACGACGTTCGTGCGCGATTTCTAAACACGAACTGCGTTCAACGCGATGGAAGAGATCTTTCTCTCTCTCTCTCTCTCTCTCTCTTTCTCTCTCTCTCTCTCTTTATTTCTCTCTCTCTCTCTCTCTCTCGTAAGCGTATGAGTGTCACGAGTATCTATCGAAGCGACATCTACATTATTCGAAATAAAGTGCTAGTTCGGCGAATGCTAGCAGCGCCCACTAACGGCACTAATTCTATATAACTCCCCGCCATTTTTCAAATTTTCTTATATGTTCTCTTCTTATACGTAGATACCTCCAAATAATATATATATATATATATATATATATATATATATATATATATATTTTTTTTTTATTATATACAATTAGATGTACGTTAATATATATTCTTTTTAATATATATATATTTTTTTATAATTTTATAATTTTTGTTATAATTTTTATCTATCGGAAATCCTCTTCTTTTTTTTTTTTTTTTTCTTTATGCTAGACGATAACCAACGTTGGGACTTGCTTGATCTCGGAAAATTCAGTATTACATAGTGTACTTACGTTCTGTAGGGCCTTATCTTTCTCTTCTAATTTTGCGTTAACCTGCATAAGTGCTTCCTGGGTCTGATCGAGATCGTTCTCGATAGTCTGGATCTTTTTTTGTAATGCACGTGCCTCTTCCTCGGCCTATACCAATAAGAGCAAAAATAACTATCATCAATCCGATAAAACTATTTTAATCCGTTCGAGAGTGCATATGTTCTTAACTTAAAAAGAAAAACAAAAAAAAAAATAAAAAAGAAAATTAAATAAAAAAGAAAGAAAAAAATAAGTTTTGGATTATTAAAACAGCGACATCATTGAAATAAAAATTTCTTGTTTCGTTTCTTTTTTTATTTTCTTTATCTTTTTGTTTTTTTTTTGTTTTTTTTTTATTATTTTATCTTAAGGATCGATAATAATTAGAAGATTTCACGAGGATACTAGCCTTCTCGGCACGTGCATTGGCATCGCGAGCCTGTTGCTCACAGAGCAAGGCGCGATCCATCGCATTATCCTTCTCCAACTTCATTCCCTGCATCTTCTTCTTGATCGCGTCCATGATGCTGCTTTTGTTGCCTCACTCACGTTGGTCACGAAAAATATCTGCTTTGAAAAAAAAAAAATATATATTATTTGATTATTTACAAATTATTTATTACACCAGTAATCAATATATGTATATACATATATTCATATATTTATATATATATATTTATGTTACTCTTATTTCTTTTTAAAGTTAATAATATAAACATATATTTATACTATATTATTAGCGCAAAATTATAATATATTATAAAATTAATATTATATATATATCTTAAAAAAAAAAAAAAAAAAAAAAAAAAAATGAAACATGAAACAAAAAATATCCTTTCGTTGTCGGATCATTTTCTTTTTTCATACTATTTCTTTTTCTTCCTTCTTTCCTCCGTCTCGAAGTTATAATATATAAAAAGTATAACAAATAAAATAATATGAAATAAAATAATATGATAGAAAATTTAATCGAAAACTTTTAAACGTTCACGCCGAATCGATGTGTATAATTAGCGGAGTGATGTTAGATACACCAAAATTCGTATCTTCTATTAATAGATCAAACACGCATTAGACACGATAGGAGCTAAGCTAAAACGTTGTTGTTGTTCCCTCTTCTTTCTCTCTCTCTCTCTCTTTTCTTCTTCTTCTTTCTTCCCTTCTTCTTCTTCTTCTTCTATTATTTCTTCGAAAGATATTAGGAAAAAATTTGTCTAATTTCAAAAGGAAGAAGATTAATTTCAAAGTTTCGAAATCGAATCGTCTTCTGTGTTTGTTGATTGGTTAGTTGGTTGGTTGTTTGGTTGATTGGTTGGTTGTTTGGTTGGTTGGTTGGTTAGTTGTACGGCTGCTGGAGATCCAGAGAGCTATGGTATGCGCGTCGTCGTCCTCAGGAGCGTTCAGGAGGAGAGGAGGAAAATAAAAGTCAGTCGCGGCCGCATTCAGGTTTTATCCGATCGTTTCTCCGAGCTCCGTCGAGCGAGCGAGCGAGCTTAAGCGGCCAGTAATCGACGTGCCCGCAAAGAAACCCTCTCTTCCACTTCTACGATCCTAGCCCCTTTCCCCCCCCCTTCCTTTCTCCATGTCTATCCTCCCCCTGTCTTTCTTCTTTTGCTAAGATTTCTCTCTTTCTCTCTCTCTCTCTCTCTTCTCTCTTTATATATATATATATATATATATATATATATATATATATATATATATATATATATATATATATATATATATATATATTATGAAACGACGCAAATTAAATGGATTAAGTTCACTTTTTGAAAATATTTTTGGCCATCGAATGAAAAAAAATTTACTTCAAAAGTCAAACTGTTTAATACCGCGATCTAATATAAATTCTATATTTTTATATATGATATAATTTTATTTTAAATATATTGAATTATATAATATCGTATGTAAAATATATATATTATATATATTTATAATATAATACATTATATATATTTATATATATATATATATATATTTTAATATATAATTTGATATTAATATTAATACATTGTATTATATATAGGATGGATTAAAACTTTTTGTTTGATTGATTGAAGATAAATTAAATATTTTAAAGTTCCTTTCGTGAGTTAATGCACGTTCAAATTTTAAAATGTAAAACTATTTAGCTTAGCTCGTAAAAACTACGAGTATTAACTTTTAATTTGAAAAAGAATGACAATTTCTTGAGATCTTAAATTAATTTTTACAAACGTTCAGAAACTTTTGATTATAATTTAATAACCATACATCGATCATTCTATAATAAAATCTGTGATTTTATTTTCGTACGAAGAAGAGATATATGAATATAAAAGAAAACGAAAAAAAAAAAAACAAACAAAAAGAAAAAAAGAAAGCTAAGTAGAAAAAGAAAAAAAAAAAGAATAAAAAATGCTCGGATTTAATTCCTTTCAACTTTTCTATTTTTTTTTTTCTTTCTTTCTTTTTTTTTTCTTTCTTTTTGGACAGAATTGAACGGAGAAGGAACTAAGCATAAAAATATTTATAAAACTTAACAAAAAGATTATATATATATATATTAATATAGTGTGGCCACTGAGAGATTAAATGATATAAAATAAAAATTACTTTTATTGAATGCATGCCTTGGCTACTTATATATACATATATATATATATATAAATCATATATAATATATTCTAATCGCATTGTTCTTAATTTACTTGCTATATCGATCGAGCATATTCGATTTAATTAGTTTCACGTACGATTAATTTGAATATTCGTCGTAGTTAAAAGACTTCCATATGATTATATTCATAATATGATAAGATTCGATGTCTCTGCAAACAAATTTACTTTCTTTCTCTCTCTCTCTCTCTCTCTCTCTCTTCCTCTCTTTCTCCCTCTTCCTTTATATTATCAGACACTCCGAAACTAGTTCTCACGAAACTAGCGGACTATATATATATAGATATATATATGAACATACACATATATACATTACACACAAATATATATATATATATATATACATATATACACATATATATTTGCATCATTCATAGCGTATTTTTAAACTCGGTAACGGCCGTGTTCCTCGCTCTCGAATATCGCGTTCCTGCTTTCGAAGCGAGCTCTCGTTCGCGCGCGGAACGCGTACATACATTGGCGTATCACGCGATAGATCTCTTTCCATCTCTCTTTTTCTCTTTCTCTATCTATCTCTCTTTCATATTAAACAGAACAAAATTTATCCTCCATTTTTATCATATTATTTTAATCGTTTACGATCATTCAAATATTATATATTAATTGATATATCGAATGGACGTCCTGATACTTCGTTAAACTTTATCTGTTTATTGTATTATTCCTTTTTATTCTTCTCCATTGTCATTCTTTTTTTCTTTTCATTTATTCGTTCGTTCGTTTGTTCTTTCGTTCGTTTGTTCGTTCGTTCGTTTGTTCGTTCTCCTTCCTTTTTTTTTCTTTCTTTCTTTTTTTGATTTTTCTTTAAGTACGACGAAATAACGCGCGAAAGATCATGTAAAATTTTAATTAAAATTTTCTTTTTCTATCCCTCTTATTGATCATTATATACGCCAATGGGAGAGAAGTAAACGCGTGTCCGCGTCACTGGTTTATGCGCGAGCGAATGTGCGCGATTTCGAGCGAGCTGTTATAGCCGGTATAGTAATCAGAGATGCCAGGGCTCAGAAGCGAGGAACAGAAAGGACATCGAGCCTTCCACAACGTGATGCCTTCGAGGAAAAATAGATAACACACATGGGTAGGGGAGAGGGGGATATATTACGATAAAAAGGATTTCCTTTCGGATTGAACTCGGTCACACACGTTGCGCGCGTGACTTTATTTTTCTTTTCTTGTTTCTTTTTCTTTTTGTTTTTTTTTTCTTTTTTATTTTTTCTTTTCATCGTTTTCCGTTTTTCTTTTTTTTGGTCCTTTTCTTTTCGTTTTTCGTTTTTTCAATTTCTCTTTTTGTTTTATTTTCTCTCTCTCTCTCTCTCTCTCTCTCTCTCTCTTTCTTTATCTTTATCTCTCTCTTTTTCGTTGAATATTATAACGAATAATTGATAAATTCGTTACGATCGATATATTATTGCAAATTAAAATGTTAAAATGACGAGAAAAGAAAAAAGGAAGGAAAAGTGAAATTTTGCGAGAAACAAAAAAAAAGATATAATCTCGATCGTTCCTTTTCTTCTCTTTTTATATTTTTATTTTTCTTCCATTTCTTCTTTTTCCTTCGCGTTCGATCGAATCGATTTATAAAAAAGAATAATGAAAAAAATTATCTCGATCGACATGAAAATTTGTATTAAGTTCAATAACTAATGTC